CCAGAACACCAGGACGAAAAGAAGAGTTGAAGAGCTTACAGAGAGAACAAACAAGTCATAGCATAGCCAGCAGATGATGGATTGACGCCTTCAAAATTCTGAGAGAAAATGATTTCGAATTTCAAATTCTGTAGTTGGCCTAGATGAATGATATTCAACCCTGAAGGGTAACTGCAACTAACTCTCACATGATTCAGGGAAAAAATATGCATATACAATAGAGAGAAAAGATGTGCTACAGCAAATATGGCAAAAATGTTAACAATGGTGAATTGGTGAAAGGTATAAAGGAGGTTTTGGTAATATTCTTGCAAGTGTTCTCTAAGTTTGAAAAAAAAAGAAGGAAGGTAGAATAAAGGGATTTTTAGATGTGTAAGGTCTCCAAAGTTTATCCCCATGTCCACTTTTTTACTGAGTCATTGTAGGATGGGATGTGTTCCACGCAAACAAGGAAGTGAAAGAACAAAGTGTAACTATGGAATCAAGAAAACAGAATCCAGGGGCCGGCCCCATGGCCAAGTGGTTAAGTTAGCATACTCTGCTTCAGCGGCCCAGAGTTTTGCCAGTTCAGATCCTGGGCACAGACCTAGCACCGCTCATCAAGCCATGCTGAGGTAGCGTCCCACATAGCAGAACAAGAAGGACCTACAACTAGAATATACAGGTATGTACTGGGGGGCTTTCGGGAGAAGAAGAAGAAAAAAAAAAGATTGGCAACAGATGTTAGCTCAGGTGCCAATCTTAAAAAGAAAAGAAAACAAAATCCAACATAGAGGAGAAGTGAAGGGAAGTCCTGGGATGACAGCTGGGAGTGGGTCTGGAGAGTAATAGTGTAGCCTGGAGCAGGAGGACCACGGACGGAAGGTTTATTTCCAGTAAAATATAGAATTGATGGATTAGACATTTGAGTCGTTTTATAGTTCAGACAGAGAGTCTGGGGATGAATAAGTGGACAGGGCCCTAGAAAATAGAACAAACCAAAATTTGAGTTAATTATTAACCCCAGGGAAAAGGAACACTTGCACAAGAAAGGAAATATAAATGATGTGGTTCAGCCATGAACAAGATTTATATGGTCATATTAATATAAAATGAATATATAATATAATCACTATGGGAATGAGGGGAGGGAAATGATTTGTGAATGGAAGGTATAAAGAAAAATCATTCCTCGTCTTCCATGGCAAGAAATCAATAGATAATATATAAAATAGAAAAATCAAGCAAAGCAGTAGAAACCTGTTATTTGGAAATACAAAAGAAACATGAGAAAAATGCTTACATGCTCTTTTTTGTAAGTAGTGTTTGTCTAGGACAGTCCCAGTTTATCCTTGTTTGTCTGGCATAATTTTGTTAGCATTGCCCTTTTCAGTCTCCAAACTGTCCCAATTTGGATGAAGCTTTGCAGTGTTATTTGATTTTTTAAACTATGTGTGGGTAATATTTTGATAAAAATAAAATAAGGGGGGCCGGCCCCCTGGCTGAGTGGTTAAGCTTGCATGCTCCCCTTCAGCAGCCCAGGGTTCATGGGTTCGGATCCTGGGCGTGAACCTACACACTGTTCATCAAGCCATGCTGAGGCAGCATCCCACACAGAAGAACTAGAATGACCTACGACTAGGATATACAACTATTTGCTGGTGCTTTGGGGAGAAAAACACAAAGAGGAAGATTGGCAGCAGATGTTAGCTCAGAGCCAATCTTTCTCACCAAAGAACAGCAAAAAACAAACAAACAAAAGTAAAATAAGGGGCCAGTCCTGTGGCATAGTGGTCGAGTTCAGCACACTCAGCTTAGGCAGCCTGACTTCAGGGGTTTGGATCCTGGGCGCAGACCTAAACCACTCATCAGTCATGCTGTGGCAGTGACCCACACATAAAGTGGAGGAATACTGACACAGATGTTAGCTCGGGGCTAATCTTCCTCAGCAAAAAAATTAAATTAATTAATAAATTAAATAAAGAGGGCTCTTTGGACCCTAAATAAAATAACCCTGTTTCATCCAGCTCAGCCAAAGACTTTGATTTTCTTTTCCTCTAAAATTAATTCTTCATTTTAAATTAAATACAAGAAATACATTTGTTTCAAAGCACTTTTTACATTCATGACCTCGTTTAATTTTTAGAACTGCTTCATGGGGTAAACATTCTATCCCATCTTACAGAAGATAAAAACAAGGTTCAGAGAGGTCTTGTGACTTCCTAACAAGATGACACAGCTAGTAGATACTAGTCCACACTAGACCAGGCCCTCTGATGATAGTTCCTATGCTCTTGCCACAATATCAAATGATAAGGCATTGAAGCCATCCCACAACAGAACAGAATCTGAGATGTAAGATCAAGTACCCAGATTAACAGCCTAGCACTTAAAAAAACAGATTATGAAAAACATCCTTTTGTCAGCCTGGTCTTTTACAGAAATTCAAATTAGTCTGCCCAGGTAGGCATAGTGGAAACTGAAATCGCCCTCACGGGAGGACAGCCCACAGTTCCCTTGGAGTCCCAGAGGATGAATTCCTGCTGCTAAACCTCCAGACTGGCAAAGCAGTCTTAGTGGTTGTTTCACTTTTTAAAATACATTTTAAAATTATAAACATAACTCATGGGGGGCCGGCCTCGTGGCCGATTGGTTACATTCGCATGCTCCATTTCGGCAGCCCAGGGTTTCCCTGATTCAGATCCTGGGCGCAGACCTAGCACCACTCATCAGGCCATGCTGAGGTGGCGTCCCACACAGCACAACCAGAAGGACCTACAACTAGAATATACAACTATGTCCTGGGGGGCTCTGGGGAGAAGAAGAGGAAGAAGAAAAAGATTCACAACAGATGTTAGCTCAGGTGCCAATCTTAAAAAAATAATAATAATAATAATTCATGATTATTTAGAAAAATAATAAAGATAAAACAAAAGAAAAAAATTTATATCATCTAAGTCCCATCACCTAAAGATGAATATGGTTAACATTTTAGATGTATTACACTTTTTCTGATACAAATACAAAAACAGGATCATATCATGTAAACTTCTCAGTAACCTGCTTTTTCCCCCAAACATGGGAGAAATGTCCATAACCATATGAAAGCATGGTTTCATGTCCACAACCATGTGTCTTTCTTTTAGGTAGCTGCCTAATAGTTCATCATTTGGATTACTGTATTTGACCAATCCTCTGTTGCTAGAGATTTGGGTTGTTCCTTCCTTCCTTCTTTTTTCTATTATTAACTTTACAGCAACAACAAAACTCTGCACACATATCTTTGTGCACATGTCCAATTATTTCCTCAGGATATGTTCCCTTAAGTGAGATTACTGTGCCAAAGGGAGCTTTCTAACTCACACTGTAAATTGCCCTCCTGAAAGGTTGGATATTCCCATCAATAGAAGATGTAAATGTCCATATCCCTGTATCTTGCCAACCTTATGTGTTCTTTTATCAGTGCTGTTATCTTTCCTAACAGCTAAACCTTGGGGGAACAAACAAAGGGGGATGGGATAGGAGGCAGTTGAAACAAACAAGAAATGTCTAAAGAGAAATGTCTAAAGAATCCCTTCTTTCTAGTCCCTCTCATACTCTAATATTTTTCCAATTTGAAACTCTAGCCTGGCGGGTTCTATCCTCAGCTCACACCCCAACTTCCCCTGCCTGCCCTCTTTTACGTAACTCTAGTTTGGGTCCATCTTTAGTTAGAACTAATACAGTCTCCCACGTTGATCTGCCACCCATGGAAACAAAGCCACATTGAAGCTGGTTAACACAGAGGAGCCAGGCCAAGCACTGGCCCACATTACTCACTCTATATAAATTCCTTTTGCTGGCAGTGCCCACACTCAGGGAGGGTAACGAAAGAAAACACACGTTAAACTTTGCACTGGGACGTATCAACACTCAACAACATTTGTCCTGGGAACTCAGCGCTTCGATGCCTGGCTTTTAACACCCCTGAGACTGAGGAGGGTAGAAAGATTGTAGCAGGCCTAGTTCTAACTCCCCTTTCGGCCAAACCTTATTTTCACCTAGAGATGAGAGTGCACAAACTACCTTCTCACCTAGAGATGAAAAATCAGTTTTCTGGATTTCACCTTCTACCACCTCAAACCAACTGTGCTAAAATTTTCCCAATTCACCGGGACCTAGCACAAACGTACTCTTCTATTTTTACCGATTTTAAGAGGATAATTAAGTGCTTTATTTTAACAAAAAATATACACAGTGACACAGGCCAAAGTCCAACCCTGAGACAAAATCAATTACTAAACATCTGCAGGGCAAAAAGAAAGCGAGCGGAGAAGGCATCTGAGACGCAACTTGCGGAGCTCTCGAGGAGCCGCGTGAGGCTGCGGCTCAGCGCTTCTGGCCCGCTCCCCCCGCACCCGCGGGATTTCACCTCCGCACACTCTCCCGCCGCCGCCCGCGTGCCCGGCGCTCCCCTCGTGGCCCCGCCCCTCCGCTCGTGGCCCCGCCCAGGGCCCGCCCGAGGCCCCGCCCCGCCGCCGACGTCAGTTGTTATGTCTCGGCTCCTGCCGCGGCAGCCGCGGATCTCTGCTCCCGAGGCGACGGCCGCGGCCTCGCGAGGTGGCGGGGGCATCGGGCGCGGCGGCCGGGACTCGCTCGCGCCGCCCATCCGAGCGGGGCGGGCGCTGCGTGGCCGGGAGGCAGCCGGGGAGCCGTCTCGGGCCTATTTTGCTTTTTCCCTCCGGGACGGTCGGCCCGCGCGCCCCATTTCCCTCTGCGGAGACAGCGACGCCCCCTCCCGAGCCGGGCCGGGCCGCGGACTGAGGCGCCGCCCGCCGGCCGGAGCGACCCTGGAGCTGCCGCCGCCGTGCCCGCCGCGCTTCTCGTGGAGCCTGGGCGGCCGGCGGGGCCTGGGGCCTGGGCGTCAGGCGCGGTGCTGCGGCGGCCGCTCCTCCCCGCGCTGGGCTCCGGGCCTGGCCAGGCGGAGCGCCGCGCCCTCCTGACCCTCCGCCGCCGGAGCCCGGCCGCGGCCCAGCCGGCCCCAACCGCCTCCCGGGCCGCCGCCCCTCCGGCCTCGGCCTGCAGCGCGGACCCCGCTTCCTTTGCGGATCTGAATTATTGTCTTGGCCTCCTCCTCCTTCCCCCTTGAGATTACGGTGCTGCGAGACCGACCCCGTCGCCTCGGTCAGTGACCCCGGCCCGGGGAGACGTCTCTCGTTTTGTTCTGCCCCGCGGGCTCGCCCCGCGCTGCTCTCCTTTCGGTGTTTAATCGATGGGTTTTTTAAAGTTTTTTCCCTTTATTTTTCTCGCCTCTTGACTCAAGGCCCGGTGCGAGGCTCTGCGCCTCTGCCGCTGCTCATCTTGTCCTCATCTCCTCGCAGAGACCCCGATCCACCTGCCTCCCTGCCAGGGTGGCCCGACGGTGACGGCGGAGGGCTGGACCGCACGCTGAGAGTGCCCTGCCCAGGCTGCCCCTCCACCCGCCGCTCTCTTGTGTTCTGAGCTCTCTGGAAAGAGAGAAGACGCAGGGGAAGATGTGGCTGAAGCTTTTTTTCTTGCTCCTCTATTTTCTGGTCCTGTTCGTCCTGGCTAGGTTTTTTGAGGCCATTGTGTGGTATGAAACTGGCATCTTTGCCACCCAGCTGGTGGATCCGGTGGCGCTGAGCTTCAAGAAGCTGAAGACCATTCTGGAGTGCCGGGGGCTAGGCTACTCGGGGCTGCCCGAGAAGAAGGATGTCCGGGAGCTGGTGGAAAAGTCAGGCGAGTATCGGGCTCCTCTGGGGTCCCCTCCACTCGGAGGAGGGGGCGACCTGTACTTCCTCGTGCGTGGGGGTCCGCCGGAATGAGGCGTTACCTGCAAGGCTTTTAAGCACACCACTCCGAGAGCTGCCCAGGTTTTCTACCGAAAAAATACGTGCATCCCAGTTTTGAGAAGGGGGCTGGAATTATTTGTAGTGGTGTTGGCGTTTCTTTTTAAGGTTGTTTTCAAGTAACAGTTCAAAGTGCAGCTTCTTAGCATTGTTTACTAAGTTGAGTGATTTTCTCAAAATTCGAGACTGTCAGCCGGTTCTAGACAAACTGGAAAGTGTTATTTGTCAGTTGAAATTCATAAGGATATGTAAGAAAAGAAAAACCCCAAAACATTGTAGATAGCAGTATTTGTCACGATAGTAATAGCAAGCTACCCGGAGGGAAAAATATCAAATACTGGAATACCAAATTCCATATTGATATTGAATATTAATATTGGAATACTTAATATCAAAAAGGCATTTAGGTGTAAGATTTAAGTTTTAAATAATGAGTTTATAGAGAAAGTGTACACTGTACAGAATTAGCTTTTAATACTTTGGTGAAAAATAAGGTGAATATTTTTGTGAATGCCTACCTTGTTTGTTTTGAAAGTGGTTGTTTATATTTATGTCACGATTTTTAAAAACCCTTTGTATCTCGGATGTAAACTTTTTTTCCTTATGTGTGACAGGCCCTGCTGCATCAACTTCAGTGGGTTGAGAAAGAGATTTGAAATAGTGCTGAGAATATTTACCATCTTGCAGAATGCACTTTCAATAACTGTTGGTTTGGGGGTAGGATTGGGTGAGAAATAGGGTGAATTTTTTTCACCCCTGGACAAAGTGTATCTTTGTTTAGATACACTTCCTGGAAGAGGCATGTCCGTTGGGTTGAGAAGGGCATTCTGGGTTGCTGTAGGAAGCAGTTGAAATTGATGGTTATCTTTTCTGTTGTTTCAAGTATATCTGTCAGCTGTGTCTTTTACAAGACAGATTTTTTCCTTCTTTAGTACCTGGTAGCCAGGTCGTGTGATAGACGAGAATACTAACTCCAGAGTTTACCACTCAGGGCTTAATCTGCAGGTTAATGGTTATCAAACTCATATCTCACTACTGAGGTAGAGGAGGGAACCCTCTCTGTAAAAGTGATACATTTTCCGGTAGAGAAAACATACAATTGTGTATTATTTTTGCCTTTTGTTTACTGACAGGTTTATGGTGACTTTTATTTCTACCGTGGCAGGGTGGGGGTGGAGAATGGAGTATAGTAGATGTCTAATAAATAAACTCTTTAGGTTTAGAAATAAGAAGTGTCTTTACTGCCAAAGCCAAATCATCTTTCATGGTAAAATAATTTGATAACACGTTTTTTTTTCCTTTGACTTTTCTTTCATGTTGCTTTCCTTTGGGCCTAAAAATATGTGTCACTTGGAGTGTACAAGGAGTGCACATATCATTTGAAGAATACAGCCCACAAAAATATGACTCAGATCACACATGATAAAGCAGAGAAGTCTTGGTTTGGCAATTTAGCTTTATAATTTAAATATTCGTTGTGGATGGTTCTGCTGCTATCCTGACACAGTGCTTGTTTTCTCATTGTTTAATGTTGAAGGCAAAAGTAAAATAATTTGACATTACTGTTTTCCTTTTTATTTGATGATGCAAGCTGTAAATTTACATAGTAAATTTGTGTGTGAATATGGAGTTTGTTCTTATAGATAGTCTTTCGTATGTAACCTCCAGCTCACGTAAGCCCTGTTGCTGTTTTAAGCAGGTGGTAATGGCAAATTCTGTAAACCTATTTCGGAATCTTGTAGGTCAGGAGTATAAAATCATACTGTTTAAAAATTATCTGAAGACTGGGCATGTTATACACAAAGCTAAGTAATATTGTGATGGCTTTTTGGACTGGTATATATTCAGTAATATCCTAATAAATTATGTGATGACCCCATTAGACTATAAACCCCATGAGGAGATGGATTTTTGTCTGTTTTGTTCGTTTTTGTCTGACATATAGCGGGTTCTTATTACATATTTACTGAATGTATGAATCTTAAATGGGTGTGTTCAGGTCCTACTCTTCTTTTCTATAAAGTGCAATCACATGATTTATAACAGTGTAAAATGGAATTAATCATGGAAGTTGGGAACGTGGCATTTTTGAAATCTTATTAGTGCTGTTTTTTCCTTTCTTCAGGTGACTTGATGGAGGGTGAGCTGTATTCTGCACTCAAGGAAGAGGAAGCAGCTGAATCTGTTTCTAGTACCAATTTCAGTGGTGAAATGCACTTCTATGAGCTTGTAGAAGACACAAAAGATGGCATCTGGTTGGTTCAGGTATCAAAAACAGTGATAGAAGTGAAATTATTTTTACCAAAATAGTATTCACCAGTTGGTGACACTTCTTTGTACTTGTGTCTATTTCTGTTTCGGGTTTTTATTTTTTTTTTGAGGAAGATCAGCCCTGAGCTAACTGCTGCCAGTCCTCCTCTTTTTGCTGAGGAAGACTGGCCCTGAGCTCACATCCATGCCATCTTCCTCTACTTTATGTGTGAGACGCCTACCACAGCATGGCATGCCAAGCAGTGCCATGTCTGCATCTGAGATCTGAACCAGCAAACCCCGGGCCGCCCAAGTGGAACATGCACACTTAACCACTGCACCACCGGGTCGGCCCCTCATATTTCTTAGACATAATTCAGTTTTCAAAGGGAAGCTCCAGCATCCTCTTAAAGAGGTTTCGGAGACTAAGGAAGAGTAGGGGCGGGAGGAAGTGTTGGGGAAGAGAGTTGACTGCTTTGTTTAGAATCAGCAGAAGCAAATCCATTTTAGTTATTAGATCTTCATTAAAGTAAGAAATGCATATATATATATTCCTTTTATTTAGTGATTTGCACTGTGGTCTCAGTTTTTGTTAACTGCAGTTTTTAATTCGGTGATCCAAATAATTTTTGTATCTAAAGGAAGAACCCTACAGTCAAAGTAAAGGAATCCTTCCATTAGGGAAATAGCCAACTTGGCAACTATAGAGGAAGAGCTGTGGGTGGAATGGTGGGAGGTTCTCTTTGCTTTGCTTATGAAATTGATGAGATTAGGATTTTAAACCCCAGCTCTTATGGTTTCAAAACTGTGAGGTTTAATTAGCATATTGGAATTTTAGAGCTATGAGGGGCCTTAAAATTCATCTTTTATGCTTCCCAAAGTGTGATAAATGAGTAGGCACACATTATCATTTATGTATTTTAATGTAAATTAGAAGAATCAGTATTATATTAAACATGTAATTTCATAAATATTGCTTAGGGCAAGGCTAAAGTTACTTAAATTTTTTTAAATGTAAGTTCACTTAAAGTGACATATCAAGTAAATTAACGGCATGAATTTGGCTAAAATTATAATGATTGAACCAGGACCAATTCCTGGGTACCCTGATTTCTTTTCTCTTGTCATTTACACTGGGGTTGGCAAAGTTTGATTCAGCATATAAAAATCAAAATAGTTACTTCATATTGCTTTCTGAGAATAATGACTGCAAAATATGGTAGAAAAAGCTGGGTTCAGAGACCTTTGTTGCAGATCTGGTCCTGTCACTTATTTACAGTATGATTGTAGATAGATACATCTGTTGCATATGGTCTCAAATAAGTATCCGTCTAAGGATGGAATAATTATGTATCCATCTAAGGATGGAATAATACTGTGGTCCACTGGGCTAAGGAGTTGAGGTCTGGGAATTCGTCAGGTGATTGCATTGGATATCCATGACCTTTCCTTTACTTGCACTTTCCTATTGCGTTTGACCTTTTACCCTCCAGATATCTAATTCAGTAATTTTTAAGTTCAGCAAAGGGAGAACCTAGGATGGTATGGATACTGTCTAAGCATTATACATCAAATTCTAGTTTACTTCTGTGTTAATTATTTGGTAGAAAAATAAACTGTAGTGTCTTCAAAGCTTTTCATTTATGAGTAAATTGTTATTCCATTTCTTTTCCCAGATATTTATTTTTGATAGTCTGATCGAGGAAGACTTATTAGTTTTGATAATTTTAGTTTTATTACTAAAATTGAGTTGAATAGCCAGGCCCACTGCCCTGTGTTCTCTGTCTAAATGTTTGTCCGCACATTGAATGATCCCATAGAGATCAGGGTAAAGATGCACCTTCCAAACTTGAAAAAGCCATGTCAAAAATCTGGAAATTCTTTTAGTATAGGGTGCTGCCTATAGACAGCAAACACAGTCTGGTTCACTGATTAGCAATATATTCTTGGCTTATTAATTATCTACTATTTTTTGATATTTTATTAAAAATCACCATGGGTTAAACTCCCTTAATATGTGATAAAATTCACACAGTTTATTTACCAAATGTGTGTGTGCCAGGCCCTAGAAGTATACCAGGGACATACACCAGGCTAAGTCCTTTCTCTCACAGGCATCTCACATTTTAGTTGGGAGAAGTAGGCACTAAATAAGTAAATGTTTAATATAACATCAGTTAGTGGAAAGTGCTAAGAAGAAAATAAGCAGGGTAAGGAGACAGTGGCAAGGAATTCTCTAATAAGCTGATGCTTGAATGAGCAAATAATGATAGCATTATAGACCCTAATCACTGAATTATTTTTCTCTGAAAATATTTTTTAAACCTCATAGGTATTAATAGTTGACAAATGACTCCTAAAAAATGTAATTATATGATTTTCTGTGTGTTAATGGTACAGTAGGACACACACTTAATCATTTTTCCAGTGACCTTTAAGATTTGCACTGATCACCATTGTCTGGCTTCTGTTCCGTGGGGCCAGTGTCTTACATCTGTCAAATGGGTGGCTTGAGTGGGAAGAACAATCTCTGGCAAGACAACTGAAAAGACTGAGATTGAAACCCTGTCCTCAGTACTCTGGACTGCTCTTGAAAGAAGGCTGTTTTTTTTATTTTTTACAAAGATTAGCCCTGAGCTGACATCTGCCAATCCTCCTCATTTTTGCTGAGGAAGATTGGCCCTGAGCTAACATCCATGCCCATCTTCGTCTACTTTATATGTGGAATGCCTGCTACAGTATGGCTTGATAAGCGGTGCGTAGGTCTGCACCCAGGATCCAAACCAGCCAACTCTGGGCCGCCGAAGCGGAACATGTGAACTTAACCGCCACACCACCGGGCTGGCGGTTTTTTTTTTTTTTTTTTTTAAATTGAAAATATCTGCTGGAAACAAGAGAAATATGCTGTTGGTTGCTTGTCATTCTTTCAGCTCAGATCATATATTTATCTAGTCTCTTGTAACAGATAAGTTTCAGGAATTCAGTTTTTAACAATTTGAATTATTCTTTTCCATTTATTTTGAAAGAAGCTAATTTCAGTTTGCTTTATTATTTTTTTCTTTTTTAATCTGTGAGGGTGCATAGATCCTGGCCAGTTCAATCCTCTTCAAATTACCCTTATTTTAGGTATCCTATGTAAGAAATGTTTAAGTACTTTCTTCTTTTCCTCTTGATTTTCTAATGTCACTTTCTTACTCAACTGAGTTATAGTTTCCTTTCGTATTTATTGAGGAAAAGTGTAGTTAGGTGGCCTATAACTGATAATTAACACTTCAGACTTCGTGTATCCTGTCACTGAAAGGATGTCGGGATTTACTTATTTAGGGAAAATGTGATTTTAATAACTGAGTCGAAAAAATGTACATGACTTAGCCATTCCATCATTTGGTCAGTTCATTATTTTTCTGCAACAGATTGCTAATCTAGGTTGATTATCTTTTTTTGGTGACTACGTGTGGAATGACGCTACCAAAGGAAAATGAGTTTCTATAATTTATTTAATTCACGCTGTGTTATGATTTGTATCTTCTCTATAACTCAGGAGATACTTTCTGAATAATAGCTGTAAATGGTCTTCAGATCTTTCTCTTCTTAATTGTTTTAAGATGTATTAGTGCTCTTGAATTATGTTTACATTAATGCAGAGTATTAGGATACTCTTTTTCACGTCAAGCTTTTCCATGTCTGTCCTATGTTCTCTGTAATATGAGGTGGAAAGAACTAATTTAGTTTTCAAGGCAACAATACGTATGGGACATCTTTACCGATAATACGCTTTGTAATCCAGGGAAGAACCGAGTCCTGTTTTTTCCTGACTCTTGTTTCTCACATTCTGAGTTTTCCTGCTTTGTTCCTAACCTCAGCTCGTATCTTTCATTAGCTATTTATTTTCCAGTGTTGTAGGTTCTTTGATTCTGCTGCCACCCAATCTTCTTAGCATTACGAATAGAAGACGGTTCCTTTTCTTTCAAAAGACTCTTAGAGAGGCAGATGGAATGGTGGAAAGGCTTCTGAAGTGGAAAAGTTAGCCTTCTTTAGGGATTTTATGGATTTATCCTTATGTTAACATTTCTATTTCTCTGTTTTGACTTTTGTTCAAAGAAGGGCAGTGATATTTGTTTTCAACTGGCTTTGTCACATCATAAGGAATTTAACAGCACTGGAATTGAGGTAGCAGTGAAGAACATCATATGATTTAAAATAAATCTTTGGGTCAGTATTTACTGAAGTTATTATGTTAATATATTTCCTGTTTGCCTGCAAAGAGTTAATAGCTGTTTTAAAACTTGCTTGTCTCTGCTTCTCGACAATGGTTTTGTTCAGGGAGGTTCTAACCTTTTTATTCCTTTCTTGACACTACTCTAAGGGTGAAATACATGACGAGCCACTTTATCCTTTATTTTGTATTGATGAAAAACTTTTATTTGTGTTTACTCATAAGACAGCTAGTGAGGATACCAAAGAAATAATTAAATTCCAATGAGTTTTGTTTTTGTCAATCTCTCATCCTCACTTTTAATAATTTTATATAATTTACGTATATATATTTAGGTTGGTCTATGATTTTAAAAGTAGAAACTCCCTGTTATAATGAAATATTGAGAGATGCAGAAAATATCACAGCACAGCCCTCCTGTTCTGTGGAGTTATTTAATTTAGCCTAGATGTTGTTGCATGGGGATTAACAATATTAAAAGGGATATGCCAAATGTTTTGACTAGTACGCAAAAGTGTGTGGCTTTTTTCTTATGCCAATGTACCACCTATAATATATGTGGAAGGGACTGGGCAATAACCTGAAGCCTAGTTTTTCTTTGTAAGTTTAACTGGACTACACAAGGTTGATATCAGAAATACGGGCACTTAGCATCACACACTGTCCAACTCAGTTCCATCCAGTGATGTGCTGGAGCAAGCTCTTACTGCTTCATGAGGGCGATTGTTAAAATCTCTTCCCAACTCCACGTTTAGAGATGTCACGCTGGTAACTTGAAATCAGCCGTGTGGGAGTATTTACACCAAGGAAATCAGCAAATGATAGAAATCAGAACTGCCTTTTTCTTCTGGAGAGTTAGTCGTTAAATATTTACCAGCAAACCATAGGTTTCATCCATTCATCCAACCATCTAACAAATATTTATTGAAATCTAATGTGTGCCAGCTGAACCTCGTGATAAGCACTGAGGGCACAAAGATGAATCACCTATGGTATGTGCCATGCAGCACCTTAGTTTGGTTTACTAGAATGTGTGGACCAGTAAAAAATCTTATCCAGCTGAGTGAGATGGTCCATAAGGGTACTAGCATTTTGAGGATCCTAAAGAACTCTGTTAGACGATGAAGTGTAACCTAGGAAAATTGCAGTAGTTTTTTTCTGGAAAAAAGTGTATTTTTAAATACGCTGAATTAGAAGTTTTTATGTCTGACTAGGGTCAAGAATATTGATGTGCAGTTGCATAGCAAGGTACTATTTATGCTAATATTTGTCCAGAAAACATTCCAGATGACAGGCTGCTGGAGAAGGGACTTTCATTACAATAGAAATCAAAAACTTGGAACCTTTAGAGAACCTGTATAATCAGAAGTAGAAGAACCAGTTCCTAAAGCATAAAAAGCTGAAATGGTTTAGTTCAACATAAATATTTAATGAGTACCCGAATGAGTTAGGCGCTGTAGTAGCTGCAGGAAATACAAAGGTAAGCAAGGGTAGGGATACCAGTTAGAGAGACAGATACCCTGGGAAGCCGGGTGGAAAGGTGTCTTCACTTCTAGCCCATGTTGCCAAGTCTGTTCCACACTTGGAACTCAGGATGTACTTTCATCTCGTTTTTTTTCTAAGTCTCTGAAAATATTCCCTACAGACAATGCAGCATCCGTCCTGAACTGCCAAGGAATGTGTCTCTCCTTTTAATAAGACCAGTGGTGTGAATGCCACTCAGACTCATCATGCATACTTTTGGATATGAGCTATACGTTGGGAACTCTTACTCATATGACACAGTGGTGATAGGCTTAGAGTAATTTGTTGTGCCGTGTGACTCAGCCAGATGAGTTATTTCGTGAAACATTTTTAGTAGTTATTTAATTTGGACACCACCAAATTTAATTTAGGCTAAAACTTCAGTTGAATAATATAAGTGTATAGGCCATGGGACAAAGCTATTTCTAATTGCATAAATGTAACTATCGAGTCAAATAAAATGCTTTCATGCAATGCCTAGGGACTTTTTCATTCTCAGGGAGGGCTTATTAAACTCTTTGAAAGCAGGTATTAGAACAACTTGCTGAATAAATAGGGCCCTGGGGTTAAACATTGTCATGTACCTGCCTCAGGGATATTCCCTCCTCTCTACACACCTTCTTTTGTCTGTGCTGTAACCAGGGGTGCCTGGGAACAACCCCCTCTCATTCCTACTTCCTTTCCCAGCATTTGGAGCTCTGATAAGTGTGAAAGATACCTGTGCGGTGATCTGGATCCTCATAGAAAAATGCCCCTAGACTTTGGGCCATAGCCTACATTGGTTAAAGCAACCTCTTGATTAACCCCTTGATGCACTGTCATTATAAACACACACCTGAAACGTTTGGGTTATTTGCAGCCTTGATCAGGAAACGGAAGTGAAAAGGGACTTCTTTTTAAAAAAAGACAAAGGGCAGGGAGTATGGTGATATGATTGCACAGAGACTTCTTCATCTTCCTAAGTAATGTGAAAAATAAGTTCAAGATTTCTTTGATTACTTGACGGAAAGAAGAACTACTGTGTTGACTCTTGAGTGGTAGGAAAAGAAAAGAAAAATGCCTGCCTTGCTTGATCTCCCTTATTCTTCCGGTAAAATTTATAAAGCACTTTTGGACCATGGAAAAATGTGAAAGTTAAGGACTCCCTGGGTAATATAACTGGTGTGCACCTTCTCAGAAGAGCTTCCACCTACTAAGACCATGTCCTCAAATTGCCCTCTTTCTGGTTACCTCAGCCATCTGAACATTTGAATAATAACTCATGTGTCCCTCAATAAGGTCATTTATTCTCATTAAAAAGTACTATCAAGGGGCCACCCTGGTGGTGCAGTGGTTAAGTTCACACATTTCACTTTGGCAGCTGGAGCTTCGCCAGTTCGGATCCCGGGTGCGGATGTGGCACCACTTGTCAAGCCATGCTGTGGTAGGTGTCCCACAAATAAAAGTAGAGGAAGATGGGCACAGATGTTAGCTCAGGGCCAGTCTTCCTCAGCAAAAAGAGGAGGATTGGCGGCAGATGTTAGCTCAGGATTAATCTTCCTCAAAAAAAAAAAAAAGGTACTATCAAAACCATTTGTCTAATGACCTAAATTGTGTGTTTGTGTGTGTGTCTATTTATTAAGCATGAAAGTTGTTACACAATGTTACCAATGCATGTATGTCTCTGTAGTTATGAGGATGATAATAACAGTGATATACGGCTGGGGTTATTGGACAGTGATCTGTTGGCACATAAAGTAAACTTCAGGTCACTTGTCACCACCATGCGCTCTCTCTCCTCCTGCTGCCCTTGAAATTTCTTCGAGTTCCCGGCAGAGGCCACAGATGAGGCAGCTGCAGCCTCTCTTGCCTCTCGCAGGGAACTAACTGTTGGCAGCCGTTTCACACTCCCACCTGGGATTTCAGTTTCCTGGAGGCTTTGTGAACATGAGAATGGCCCTTCCTCCAAGAAAAATTGAGGCCCACAGAGTATTGTGTTGTAATTTTGAATTAAATAGTACTAGTAGTATAGCACTCTTGAAAATACCCTGGGCTTAAAATAAATCAAACAGATGGTTTCATGAAGACTTTTAGAACTTTTGACTTTCCTTTAAGTTTCCATTTAGTTATTTTTGCTTTTGTTTTTAATGTATAATTTTTTTTATTATCTTTTACGGGAAGGAAGATTAGGGAATAAAGGGAAAAGGTGCTAATGATTAGAAAGGCTGAGAAGTCATTACATGTTTCGAAGATTTATTTACAATTTTTTCCTTTCTTTTCTTTTTTAAAAAACCTTTTTCTTCTCCTAATCCTAATTATGTTTGAAAGCTGTCTGCAAATTTGAAGTAGAAGTTCAAGAATGTAGAATTCATTATGGTAATTCTTTATATATGTTAGAACCTTTCATGATTGTTCAGAAGCAGTAGTATTGACTTAGTCAAAGCATAGTTTAACAGAAACATATGTTTGACTCTTGGCTCCATAATTATACTTTAAAAAAAGTGAAACTTGAACGTGTTGAACCCACAAGTCATAATTTTTTAGTAAGTTTTATTTGGATTATTGTTTAAAATTTTCTTTTCAGAGCAGAGAAATGACTCCAAGGCCCATTTTCTTCTTGTATAATTTTAAAGAACAGGCCACATGGTAGACAGTGTGGCTGGCTTTTTAATACGGTTTTGACTCCTCTATGTAACTACCAGAGACTGCGGGAGTTTATGGTATCAGTGTTTTAAGTCTTTTCTGGTTGGACAGCTGATCCTTCTACAAGAATTGCAATGATAATGTGATACAGTAAACCGGAACTGGGAACAGAATATCTTTTTCAAAAAAGTGAAGTTATATTATAACTTATATTATAGATACAAAATTATATTATAGATACAATTATATTTATTATATTATATTATATTATAGATACAAATGGTTGATTTGACTCCATTTTAGGTAATTAAGGTTTTTGTTTTTCTTTTTGGGGGAATAGGTCATAGCAAACGACAGAAGTCCCTTGGTGGGTAAAATCCACTGGGAGAAAATGGTGAAAAAGGTGTCAAGATTTGGAATACGTACAGGCACTTTTAACTGTTCCAGTGACCCCAGGTAAGTTGACTAGGCAATTCTTAGAATTTGAGTTCTGACCAGAATTTTTTTATATAATAAAAATAATGAGATTAGAAGCCTGCTTAAACTGAAAGCTAATTAGAATGTTTAATACTCTTGGTTACATGAGTGCTTGATTAATAATTTTTGATACGCTGGTAGTGATTTACTTTCTTTCTGAGATCTTTTTTTTCTCCATTTGGTTTTTCTGTGTTCTTTGTAGTGGGGGTGATTCTTAAGAGTATGTCTTCAGTCCTTTTTGTTTTAATTTTCTTTCCAAAGAGACTTCTGCACATTTATGGCTTTAGGTGACACCTTTGTGCTGATCTAAATCTTCTTCCATAATTCTGATCTCTACTTTGCATTTTGACACTCATTTCCATCTGCCCTACAGCTATCCCTAGATGTGTCCTTTTCCCTAAACCAAGTGTCCAGATTCAGATTCATCCTCTTTTTCTTTAATCAACATGTGCCCTTTCTGCCTTTCCTTTTTGTGTCCTTTACTGTTGGATTTTTTTTCCCATTTTCTCAGACAGAAATCTTTGCAGGCATTTTTGTTTTTCTTTTTGTCATCATCTCCAGTATTTAGTCTGTCACATTAGTTCTTGTTTCATTGTTCCATTATTTCTTCTTTGAAATGCTTTTTCAATTTCTGGTGCCTCCAAGTTGCAACTTACACTCACTCGTTCATTTACTTATTCATTTAGTAAATATTTAATAAAAGATTAGCATGTCCAGCATGGTCTGTTTAGTGCTGATGGAGAGGCATGATATGTATGTATAAAATCCTGCAACATTAGGTAGTTTCTAATGTAGGTAGATATGCCTGACTTGCCTATGTCTCTTATATGTGACCACAACGAGAAACCCATTAGCTGTAGAAAATGCTCCTCCACCACTGCTGGACCTCACATTTTCTGTCCTTTTCCTCTAGGGTCATGTTTGCTTCAATTCTCACTATCCTTGTTTCGCTCGCTCGTAATGTAGAGTGAAATCTCTGGTAGGAAGACACCCTAAGAGCTGGGGATAAGAAGGGAAGTTCTTGTATCTCCTAACTCACAGTTAGTCTCCTCATGTACCCACAAAGCTCCCGTTCTCGTCTTCACCCCCAGAACCTTGATCATGTTCCTGTGCCTTTGTTGAAATGTCTATAGTAGCCTAAGTGTTAATATTCTTATGAAAAGGAAGTCATTCTCATTTCTGTCCTTTGTTTACCAAAGACAGTGTGTTTGGTCTGATTCCATCTTTCCCAAAAAAAGCCTAAGCAAAAATCTTTTTTTCTCTCACTGGTGATTGCAATACCAGAATAAGTGACAGTGCTGATATTCTGATTTTTTTCAGATAGTGCAAAAGTCAGTCTTAATATCACTCTTTTATTGGAAAATATTCAGAATTGATTTTTTAAAAATCAGTGAACTAAAAATACATTTCAAGAACTGTAACATGAAAATATTAAGTAAAAACAAATTTATAAAAATATAAATATTAAACATTACAGTCTAATATAAGTTATTAGATAATGTTAAGAGTTCAAAAATAAATTAAGCACAATATAAGCATAAAAAGCTGAAAGAAATAGTAGTATTTGATTTTTTTAGTATTTAATTTCTTATAAAGCAAAGTGCATCAGAAATGTCATAACTGAGCCCAGTGGATTTCAGTGCAGATTTTTCTAACATTTCTTTCGAAAAGCTCTTTTTGATTCTATACTAACTGAGGAATGGTGAAGAGATCCATGTAAGCTACCTCCATATATTTTCCTCCAAATTCTTCGTCTTCATCTTCAAATAATCCCACCTCTTATTTATGATGGAAGAGATCTTTTTGAGCAACTTTGCTTTTTTCTTGATTGCAGCTATAATTTTTTGTTATTAAAAAAGTACTTTTATTTCTTTGTCTTCAGTTTCATCACAAAGATGAAGATTTTGATGGAGTTTTTGTATTAGTTTCAATATTGTTATGTCATGTTTCCTTTTATTTGGAAAGTCTTCCAACTAGAATAAGAACTATTCTTGCCACAGAAGCTGTGCTCAGTCAGGGTCGTTTTTTTCTTTTTTGAGGATTATGGAGGTATAGAAGAACAAAATAGGGAGATACAGAAAAGAGTGTTCAGAATGTCAACGCAGGATGTAACTGAGCAGAGAATAGTGTTATTCAGCAAGTGTTTTAACCAAATGTGGAATAATTGAGTCATCGTCTTAATCTCAGATTTTTAAAAACGTCAAAACTCTCTACTCCACTGTCCGTGTTGCTTTCTTTGCTGTAGTTCCTTCTCTGGTGTGGGCTCCAGGGCAGCCTCCTTTGATGTGCTGGGTCCCATTTTTCAGCAGTACTTCCCTGACCTGTTTCATTCCCTTGAGAACGTTGAGGGCCACCACCTCTGGGCAGCGTCTGACTCTGTGCATGCAGCAGTTTTAATTTCTTTCCCTGCTTACCCAGCTTGCCTGGCCCTAAGTCCTCTATTCCCCAACCAAGCAATATAGCTCAGCAGGCTTTTCCTGTCCAATGTATTCTTGGTTCCTTTTTTATTTATTTTTGCTGAGGAAGATTGTCCCTGAGCTAACATCTGGGCCCATCTTCGTCTATTTTGTATGTGGGATGCCGCCACAGCATGGCTTGATGAGTGGTGCATAGGTCCGTGCCCGGGATCCAAACCTGTGAACCCTGGGCTGCTGAAGTGGAGTGCAGACTTAACCACTGTGCCACCAGGCTGGCCCCTGTTTTTTTTTTTTTTGAGAAAGTGGGAAGTGAGGTGGGGCGTGTATCTTCAGGGGGTTGGAGAGATGGGAGGTAGTAAAGAGCGGATGGAGGACATGGAATTGCTGGAGCTGAGTGGTAAACAGGGACCTGGGAGCTTATGGTGAGACTATCGGGGATGAGGCCCATGGAATAAGCAGGGAAGGGCAGGAGGCGTTGGAGAGCAGGCCAGGAAGGCCAAGGAGGCCAATGACCTTATCTGAAGAAATAGCATTATATGCACAGAATACAAAGGTTTCTTTTTAAATGTAGCATGCCACACCAGAAACTGCAGTACCAAAACTCGCTAGCCTTGTTTTCTATCATTTTTATTTCTTAAATTCTGTAAGAGATCTCAAAAGGTTTACTTTAAGAACTGGAGGATATTTTCATGGTATTGTCATTGAATTTATTCAGACCTTCAAAACGTTTTTTTTTTAAATTGGCAGTAAAAGTTTTTATATTTGTACAAGGTAATATAACATTATTCTTAAAAAATAATATGTACATTAGTCTTTATTTAGCAGTGTTTTTTTTAAATTAATATGATATACTTTATGTGTTGGATTTCTTCAGACCAGTGTTTAGATAAATATGTATTAGTAGCCTGGTGTTTTATAAGTATTAGAGTTTTTTTTCAAATCTGAAAAACAGGATTTAAGTTGAAAGATATATGATACTGAAAAGAAAGCATGTACTACATTTGTTTTCCTACATGAAGAAATGCATGTACTAAAACTTTGCCTGTTTTACAGACTAAGGTTTTCTATAAGAAAGACTGTCATTTAATTTGTGACACAAATCAGAAGCCACATATTCTCTGAGGTAGTTATAGAAAGGTAAAAAGAATGCCCAAGAGTAGAAATAGGTCATCACAAGTATCATATGCAGTTAAAAAATTAAAGCTGCTTAAAGATATTTAAGATGTAAATAAGGCAATTATCTTTATGCATTTGACTTGTTGCTTTTGGGGGAAGGGTAAAAATAGAATTCATGTCAATGAATTATTTTGCATTAGACAAATACAATGTTAAGGGATATAAGATATTTTATTTTGTAGGAATATGTAATTCTCAAACCATTTCAGTTAAAGCAATATTGATATTAATGGAATCTATCTTGTTAAGGAAGTGAATCAGCTCAACAAGAAGCTTAGTCATAGTCTGTGATTCTGAGTCACCCAGATAGTTTCCTAGAGTCCTTAATTACTAACCTTGTCTTTATGACATAACATGTTGTCTTCACTTATCTTAAATTATATCACAAAATTCCTAAGATCAAATTAATCAAATTTATCATTATAAAACCAGATGCCACATGCATCAAGACTTTCCTCTCTCTTAATCTGATCGTATAAATGTGTGATATGCTTAATTTGATAAAATATAATGCTTGCTTACTAAGTAAAGCATAACATATACAAGTTTTACATCAATATTCTGAATGGCAAAATAAATTAAACATTTATTTCCATCATTTACAAATCTAGAGTGAACAAAATGTATCCATATGGTAGATTTTCTTTTTTCTACCTTTATCCAAGTACATTTACATATCATAAAATTCCACATGGTAGGTTTTTGGAAAAAAAATACTTTCTTAAAAAAAGGGAAAATGTTTCACTTATTGTCTCTCCACTGTAATACGACAGTTGTTTTCATTTTTCAGTCTTGCCTTTCATTCGTCATCTAGTTTTTTCAGGGGGAGAGGGATGTCATAGATACAACAAGAACCTGTCCATTTCCAAAAGGATTGGAGTCATGACCCTACTGGATAAATTTAAACAAATGATTTAATTTTAGTTAAATTCTTTTATACTTTGTTGTAAAATGGAGGTCATCCTTGGACTAAATCTCTTCTTAATCTGAGAACTTTGTTTCCTTTATGTTAAATACTCCTTTTCATGGTCTTCATTAAAGAGAGATAAAAGAATACAAAAAAATATGGGATTTGCTCTTTTCTAGATTAGCTTTTGTGCAGATTCCTTTGTAGCAGTGCCTGTGTGCATCAGGCATTGTGGTGGGTGCTTGGGTTGAGTTGGGTTCTTTTTCTCTTCTTTATACGTGAGAATCTAACCATCCTCTCAGACTTAGTTCAACTCCCAAATCTTTTATCAAATCTTCACCAGTTCAAACTCCCAGTGGTATTCCCCTTTTTTAACTTCTTTACGTTATTTGTTAATAGACTATATACAGTTTTATATTTCTTATAAAATGTTTTATTTCCTTAATAGGATTTTAAATTCCTTGTGAACAGGAATTATTTTCCTGTTATCTTTTGGATCTTATTAACACATAGTGCAGTAGTAAGTACCTAATAGATGCTGAAGTATTTGCTGATTCCCTTGACTGAGAGGCTTTCAAGCTACACTTTCCTTTAAAAAAAAAAAAAGAGAAAAGAAACATACAAATATCAAACAAAAATACTACAAAAAGAGAGATTGCTTTTCCTCTTATACAGCTGCTAGGTATTGGTGCTACTTTTGATTATCTGGAGGAAATTTGCTTTTGGGGAGAGGGTATCTTTCAAGTGCTAAAGAAATTTGTTGGGGGAAGACAAATTGCTTGCACAACAGTGAAGATGAGCAAGTGAGCTCATCTAGCAGCCAAGCTGTTTACTTACGGTCTACTCTCTTATAGATACTGCAGGAGAAGAGGCTGGGTGCGATCCACACTCATTATGTCTGTTCCACAAACGAGTACTTCTAAAGGGAAAGTCATGCTTAAAGAATACAGTGGACGCAAGATTGAAGTAGAGCACATTTTTAAGTGGATAACTGCTCATGCAGCTTCTCGGATCAAAACCATTTATAATGCTGAACATTTGAAAGAAGAATGGAATAAAAGTGATCAATATTGGGTAAAGATATACCTATTTGCAAACCTTGACCAACCCCCAGCTTTCTTCTCTGCACTAAGTATAAAGTTTACTGGAAGAGTTGAGTTTATTTTTGTTAATGTGGAAAATTGGGACAACAAGAGTTATATGACAGATATTGGTGTATATAACATGCCATCATACATACTGAGAACTCCTGAAGGAATTTATAGATATGGAAACCACACAGGCGAATTTATATCCCTTCAGGCCATGGATTCATTTTTGCGCTCATTACAACCTGAAGTCAATGATCTGTTTGTTTTGAGCTTGGTTCTAGTTAATCTTATGGCATGGATGGACTTGTTTATCACACAAGGAGCAACCATAAAGCGATTTGTGGTTCTCATAAGCACTTTAGGGACATATAATTCTCTATTAATTATTTCCTGGCTACCTGTGTTGGGCTTTTTACAGCTCCCTTACTTAGATAGCTTTTATGAATATAGCTTAAAATTGTTGAGATATTCCAATACAACCACACTGGCTTCATGGGTGAGGGCAGACTGGATGTTCTATTCTTCACACCCGGCCCTGTTTCTCAGTACGTACCTTGGACATGGTTTACTAATTGATTACTTTGAGAAGAAGAGACGGCGAAACAACAACAATGACGAAGTCAATGCCAATAACTTAGAATGGTTATCAAGTCTGTGGGACTGGTACACCAGCTACCTCTTCCACCCGATTGCTTCTTTTCAGAACTTTCCTGTAGAATCTGATTGGGACGAAGACCCTGATTTGTTCTTGGAGCGGTTAGCTTTCCCTGACCTTTGGCTTCACCCTCTGATACCAACTGATTATATAAAAAACTTGCCAATGTGGCGATTTAAATGCCTTGGAGTCCAGTCTGAAGAGGAAATTTCGGAGGGTCCTCAAGATATTGAGAATGACTCAGACAGCGAGAGCACAGACACTTTTAGCAGTGAGAAGGAAGTATTTGAAGATAAACAAAGCGTAGTTCACAATTCTCCAGGAAGAGCAAGTCTCTGTGATGCTGAGGCTTGTTCATGTGCCAATAAATATTGTCAGACCAGCCCATATGAAAGGAAGGGGAGGTCGTATGGATCATATAACACTAATGAAGATATGGAACCAGATTGGTTAACTTGGCCTGCTGATATGCTGCACTGTACTGAATGTGTTGTTTGCCTAGAGAATTTTGAAAATGGATGTTTGCTAATGGGGTTGCCTTGTGGTCATGTGTTCCATCAGAATTGCATTGTGATGTGGTTGGCTGGGGGCCGACACTGTTGCCCTGTTTGCCGGTGGCCTTCTTATAAAAAAAAGCAGCCATATGCACAACACCAGCCCTTGTCAAATGATGTCCCATCTTAACCATGTGCAATTTGTCCTTTATAAGCTTTGAGTATCTTACAGCTTGCCTTTTTAATGTTAGTCACAATGTTGTTGTGGTTTGAAGTTTAGTTTAATGTTAATGCAGTGACAGGAAATACACATTATGCTAATGTTGATGACAATTATTTGGTTGCCTTGTGTGTCAATTGAATGCATACTTAATTGTAAAAATTTTTATTTACAACATTGGAAATTCAGACATTAATGTTTTTTGTAAGCACAAAAGAAGTATGATAGAAATTTATCCTAGCAAGACTTTACAAGTTAGGATCAAATTCTAATGGAATTGAGGCCGTTTCTTTTCCTAAATGTTTCCTCCCTTTTTACAATCTCTGTCCAGCACCTCTTGGTTAAATAATGTATGCTCTGAGACATGAAATTAAAACAGACCTATGAAATAAATTATTTTAAAATGAGACTATTCCAGCTTTTCCAGTGTTTGAAGTTAAGTTCGAAGTTAAGTTGTCTTTGATGAGGTGACTGAGTGCTGTAGGTGCTTTGCTGGTTTGTTAATTTCACAGGTGAGTCAAACACAACTCTTGACTCATGTGGGAGAAAAAAAAGCCAGAAATTACGTTGCTGCCACTAGCCAGAGGCGATGTTAGTCTGCCTTTTTAGCTTGGCTGGCTGTGATGGGAAGAAATTTCCTGGTGGGCTTTTTCTTTTTAAGTATTAAGTCATTTATGAGTATTTAATATATTCATCTAAATAAAATCGACTATAGCGTATTAGCCACACATAGATTATTTTTTTCCCCTGACTTATTTTGAAAGATTTCAGAACTACAGAAAAGTTGGAAACATAGTACAATGAACATCCATTTCTCTGTCTAATTCACCCAGTATTTACATTTTGTTACATTTGCTTTATCTCCTCTCTCTATATTTATCTTTTCTGCTTTGTTTTGGATTTTTTTGCTGATCCCTTTGAAAATAAATTCAAAGTGCTTTTTTACCACTAAATATTTCACCATGTATCTCCTAAGAACAAGAACTTTTATTTTGCATAACCCCTATACCATTATCACACCCAAGAAATTTAACATTGATTCAGTAATATCTAATATACAATCCATACTCCCCAATTGTTCCCAAAATATCCTTTTTATCTTTGTATGTTTCTGCTTTGTTTGTATCGTGAACTCAGGCAAGGTTCATGCATTGGGTTTAGTCTCCTTCCTTTCATCCTGTTCTCTAAAGTAGTTCCCCTGCCTTTTTATTTTTTTAAGTCTTTTCTGATACTAGCATTTTTGGAGAGTATAGCCTAATTGGCTTATAGAACGTTCCACATACTGGATTTGTCTGAGTGTTTCTTCATGATTAGATTTAAATTAAAGAATATTGCCTAGATGGTGTGTACTTCCCATTTGTATTATATTAGGAGGCACATGATGTCAATTTGTCCCAGTGTTGCTGATGCTAAGTTTGGTTAAAGTAATATCTGCCTCATCTTCCGTTGTAAGATACTTTTTCACTTTCTAATTAAGAAGGAACCTGTGAGGCCACATGAATACCCTATTCCTCAACAACCTTTCACCCAACGCTTTTAACATCCATTGATGATTATTAGTCTGAATTAGTTATTAAATAGGAGTTGTAACACTGGGATTTTCTAATTCCATCTTTCATTTTACATTTATTAGCTGGCATTTTTTTGTGAAGAAGAGCTTTCCATTTTTTTATTTTCCTTTCTTTCATGCTTTCAGTATCCCCATGGACTCGTAGATTCTTTTTATAGTCAATGTGTTAAAATTCATTATTCTTTTTGATGCTCTAATCCCACATTTGGCAAATGGGACCCCCTCTAGGCCAGCTCTTAAGCACTTCTTGCTTTTTGACACAAGGTATTCCAGGCTCACTGTATTTTCCCTGATGCAGCCCCGTAATCAGCCATTACTTCAAATGGTCCAAGTTTCATGGTGGACTTTTAAAATCTTTTATTGACTGCCCCTAAAAAGGTAAGAAAATAAAATTTTCTCATTCTGAATTGCTGCTGGGTTATTAGCAGAAACATTTTTATTCATGGTGCATTGAGCCTCATTGTCATATACTAATGGAAAACAGTAAAGACTATCAGTTACTAACTTTGTATTAATATTTGGGAGCTTTTTAAAATTTTAAAATAAAAATGCAAACACTGCTCCTTGTGCTTTAATTTTCCTTTGGAAAAAAAGTAATCATGTTATTGGAAATGTTAGTGTTTCCCAGAGTTCTGCCATTGGTCCTCTGCTCTTCTCTCTTATGTTTTCAGTGGATGTCCCAAATTTGCATGTCCAGGCAAAGGCCCCTCCCCAGATCCTCAGTTTTATACACAGCTATGTGCTGAACAGCTCCTCCTAGATGCTTTTTAAGTACTTAGTAAGTCTAAAATAGCTTTTTTTTCTTCTTCTCCCCAAAACCCCCAGTACATAGCTGTATATTCTAGTTGTAGGTCCTTCTGGTTGTGCTATGTGGGACGCCACTTCAGCATGGCCTGATGAGCGGTGCTAGGTCTGTGCCCAGGATCCGAACCAGCGCAACCCTGGGCCTCTGAAGAGGAGTGTGCAAACTTAACCACTCGGCCACGGGCCAGCCCCCTAAAATAGCTTTTCATTCTCTCCCCCCACCCCCAGTCCTCCTCTTATGGTCCTGATTTCAGTTAATGAGTTGTATACATATAATGTCCATTATGAAATATACACAAAAGTATAAACATTTTAAAATACAATTAAAATTTCTCCTCTAGCATCCCAGAGCACACCACACTTTGGAGACTACTAATGTAGAAGATAAACCAATCTTAACACTGGCCTTCAAGGCCCTTCATAATCTGTTCCTGGTCCACCTCTTTGACACATCATGATACCCCGGACTGCTTGTCTCTCCAGGCCCATGCTCTGGTTTTTCTCAGCTTGGTGCTTTGCTATCCCCTCTGCCTGGTGTTCTCACCCCTTCCTCTCTGCTTTGTCTGGCTACATCCCACTTTCTCCAGAAATTCCACACCTTCCTACTCATCTTCCCTTCCAGACATACAGAGACAAAGATATCTGCAATGAAAGCTCAGGCAGCTGTCATCTTACTCAAGTGATCAAACTTAGCATCACCAACACTGGAGCAAACTGATACGTGCCCTTCTACTAATCCCACTGATACCCTGTACACACCGTCATACTTGGCTGCATTGTGTTAAAACTACACATGCATCTTTTTCAGGTGAATTTCTTTAAGGTGAGAACCATGGTTTATTCATCTGAATATCCACAGTGCATGGCATAAAATAGACATAATACATTTTGAATGTTAGACATGCAATAAATATTATAAGGAAGTTGAGGGGAAAATAATTGCCGAAGGTTCAGGTCTCCAGGGAAGCTTGACTCATCCCTTAATTGTTAGGCATAGCAAATAAAGCTTTTGTCAGACTTTCCTGGAGGTGGAGAAGGAAATATTCAAGGTCACAGACTCTAAATTTTAACTGTGTTTAAAAAGAAAGTTTGAACTCTTAGAGCAACCTACTGAATTTAATGAACTAAAGATTCCAAGGATGTGGGCTTTGTAGTTAGTGAACTCGATGGTTAACTATAACAATAGGACACATGATTGTGTAGGGGAGCAAGGCATATTCTTTTACCCTCTAGTTTTTTTCTGGGTGGTCTAAGAATTAAATTGACATGAGACAGAATAACAGGAGAAAATTAAACAAATTTAATGACATGTATACATGAGAGTAACTCAGAAAAACTGAGTAAGTCACCAAAATGGCCAAAGCCACCACCTTAAATACCATCTTCAGTTAAAGACAAAGGAGGATGTTGGGGGTAGTGTTTTTGGAGTTCAAAGGGGAGGAAGGCAATTCATATGGAGACAGAAAAGCAAATGTTTGGTAAACAAATGTTTGCCATACCGTGCAAAGACAATGAGACACAGAGAGGACTGATCAAACAGGCCTTGCTAGGTTCTTCCCTGTCTGCCACATCTAGTTTATATTATACTATAACTACCTATGGTGATAGCAACTTCCTGGAAGAGGCCTTTTATCCTAAATCCTTTTAGGCAATTAGGGGAAAGTTCAAAGTTTCTTTTTGGGTCATTTTTTCTTAAAAATAATCAAGCCAAAGAGAAACATTTTGGGGTGGCAAATTCTGATCTCCTGCAGTTCTGCTCAAACGTTTTTCTACTGTCCCCTCTAATTATTTCTTGTGTAAATCTTTTCTTTAAGGATGATGATTAGCCAGCCCCGTGGTCGAGTGGTTAAGTTCGTGTACTCTGCTTCGGCAGCCCAGGGTTTCACGGGTTTGGATCCTGGGTGCGGATGTGGCACCACTCATCAGGCCCTGCTGAGGTGGCATCCCACATGCCACAACTAGAGGGACTCAATTAAAAATACACAACTATGTACCAGGGGGCTTTGGCGAGAAAAGGGAAAAATAAAATCTTTAAAAAAAAAAAAAAAAAAAGGATGATGAGCTCCCTGAGGGCAAGAGTAAAGCTATAATTTGGTATATCCTTAACATTTTAGACCCAGAGCAGACATTCAGCAAGTAATTCTTGGCTTGAATTTTAAAAATCTATTTTAATTTTACCCTTTACCAAACTTTTTACCACCCATAAAGTGTAGGTAAAAGATTTTTTTTTAATTAAAAAAAAAGATTTAAAAAAAGATTGTATTTTTAGTACCCATTGGTACTAAGATATCGATATTTATGGCCTGTTCCAAGACAAAAATCTTAATTTTTTTCCTGTAGTCACATACTTCTTTTCATCTCTTCTTTAGATTATTTGGGAGCATGGAAGATTACTTGTGTGATCTTTGTCCTTGCTCACACATTTTTCCCCTTGGCCATTTAATTATTCCTTAAAACTCTATCAAAGAGAAAAAAGGTAGAGAGAGGTGAAGTGTTAGGTCCTTTTTGCTATTGGATCTGATTAAAAATTTAGAGAAGAAAAAGTGGAAATTTAATTGTTAAAATGATATTTTTGAGGGGCCAGCCCAGTGGTGCAGTGGTTAAGTTTGCACATTCTGCTTCGGTGGCCCGGGGTTTGCTGGTTTGGATCCCGGGTGTGGACATGACACCGCTTGGCAAGCCATGTTGTGGTAGGCGTCCCACATATAAAGTAGAGGAAGATGGGCACGGATGTTAGCTCAGGGCCAGTCTTCCTCAGCAAAAAGAGGAGGATTGGCAGCAGATGTTAGCTCAGGGCTAATCTTCCTCAAAAGCAAAAATGATATTTTTGAGTCACCTTTATTTGAATCATTCTGTTCTTGTTCTTTGTTGTCAATAATTTAAGTATATTGATTTATGATCAGTTTAGGCAATCTCTTAATTTTTGTACCATATTCTCACCAAAAGTTTTTTATTGTTTCATATATAGTAGATCATTTTACAGGTAGAACAGAAAGAATTCTCAGTTAATAAATGATCAGAACTAGGACAGCCAGGAT